GTCTTCATATTCCCAATGCGTGTGTCTGCCATATATTCCTTACCCTGTCTGCCATCCTTTTGACGAAGATTCCTTTATTAAGTTTAGTAACAGTTAGAAATGAGAATTTGTAACATATTCATAAAAGCCACCGCCTTTGTTGAATCCCGTACCAACTGTTTCATGATCTCTATTTGAATATGGAGAAGTGGCAGAATGATATTTTTTCGTCTCACTAAACTTGTTATTGTTTCCCTTTGTATCCATTGTTGTTCTAGGAGGACATTCCTTTCTAAGACATTGTAAATAACTAGCTCGGTTTCCCCGAAGGCATGTAAAATATGGAAGTTGTGTGGAAGCTGACTGTTGTCCAAGAAGCTTTCCTATAACTTACAGATTAACACACTATTTATGCTCCGAATAGTTTATTATATTGAACATCGTTGCAAGTATTTTGTAGCATTCCTTTAAGATAGAATCAAATACTACTGGTATCAATTCACACTTTGGTAAGGCACAAAATTACAGCAGCAAATTATTGCATCAATAAATAAACTACATTTGTTCTTGTTTGTTACTCCTAATTTTGATTTAACTTCTTCAAAGTATTACATTAAATTTGACGACCATTTTCAGTGAAGTACTAACAAAACCCCGTTCTTGAATGATACCAGAAGAATGCAGAAAATCATAATTTAGCAATCTTTTCTCCTTCCAACGAAAATCCAAAATTTGTGACAATAACTGTACCTAAAACACGCTCTCAAAAAGCAAAAATAAAACCCAAAAGTTAAACATTTTTCTATGTGAATTATGAAATATTGAGCTCCTCCAACTTACAGTTTTCGATTTCTCGAATGTGTGTTGCATCTAGTACGTACACTGTTTCTAGCGAAATTTAAAAGAAGGGTTTTTCCAAATCGCAGAAAATCCGTCTCAGACGAAGAATAACAAAATCGCATATAGCTCTACGAAACCATTCGCAAACTCTAATTTCCATGCAAGAGTCCGACAAGATGTTACTTCTATTGATTCGAATAAATTTGGAAATGAGGTCTTTGTAAGTACAAAGTAACTCCAATTATCTAAATAGTGATAAATATATTCGATGTTCAGTAAGTTTTCGTCGTATCTTCTCGCGAATGTTGAGATTTGTTTCAGTAAACATCTCTCTTTCAGTATACTAACTCTGTGCGAAGTCTAATCATGACTCAGCAAACATGCTCAGTTAGATTTTTTAATATGAAACATGTTTGGACGTAGGTATGTGATGGCGCAGCTGTAATCCCGTTGGTTCGCGCAATCTGTAAAAAAATATACTCTATTGCATGCAGGAAATGTTTGCGAGTAATGTATGCATTCATATTTACTCTAGGAAGCGTATGAATTTGAAAAGAAAGCGTTCGTAGATGTTCCCTATGCAAAATGTCAAAGGTGCATTGGGACTTGATGCGTCATACCATCATCATTCATCACAAAATTGATTTGGAGATTTTAAATGTAAAGCTATTTCTTTCACTTTGAAAACTATTATTTCTGTTATATTCGATGACTTTTTGGGTTTAATGTTGTTTTGCAGAGGTGTTCAACTTGAATAAGTTTTAAAATGAACAATTTTTATAATTTGTTTTCGTTAATGTTGTACGCATTATGTGATTTTATTTAAATTTAGGAAAGAACTGGAGGAATGAAAAGAAAGTTTTGAGTTTTCTTTCGTTATTTTTCCCGGGCATCTTAACATTTTTATGAACATCTTAAATAAAAATGAAACAATATTATAAAATAATCAAGTAAGAATATTATAAGTGATTGCTTAATATGTAGCTCCTAACTAAGGTTTTTTTATATTCAAGATGTTTATTGCATAATTAAAATATACAATTTAAATATTAGACCCATTTTATTGTACTTAACAGAAGATACAACTAATTACATGCAAAGAAGATTGTAAAAGAGAGATTGAATTTATAAAATGTAAATTCTGTTGTTTTATTTGTCTTTAGAATTAGGGAAAATTCAATGTTGATGAATTTAGATAGGACAATGAAAAATGTTTAACTTACACACGAAATTTGTTTAAACTCCATTAGAATGAGCCTAGTTAGTAGGCTCATTCTAATGGAGTTTAAAGCAGCCATTTATAGTAAGACGTAAAAAATCTGAAGTAATTGGAACCGTAGTAATTTGAATTTTCAAAAAGTTAAGATTTTCTAACAAATATTTGAAGAACCATCTAATTGAGTAGAAATAAAAATACCATTTCTAATGAAATCTCAAATACAAACACGTAGGTACATGTATATAGAATATAAAATCGTACATTATTACAATACAGTATATAATATTGTTGTCAGTACGACGCCACTGATAACAATGGCAAAATTTGGTAATTACGTATTTGTTTTTCACCTAGAGGTAAACTCATTACTGACGGTTTCGATTTTGACGTTTGAATTTTTGACGCTCCAGTTTATGTCATTACTTTTGTCCTTAAATGAAAATGCAATGAAAGATTTTATGTGGCAACAATATTGAAGGAACCGAATCAGTAACTTTCATTGTTCGCGGGAGAGGCTTGGGGCGTTCTTTTCAGCAGTGTGTCTCGAAGAGGCGATCAGCTGCTCCGGAAGTGGGGCACATCGCGGTTTCGTGTTCCGGAAGTTCCCTCGGAGGCGATGGGCGCATTCACGCGACGCCCCGGCCGTGTCTATTACAGAGCAGCCGGTGATCTGACAGGCCGTGACACAAGCCCTCACAATTACCTCGTGCTGAAGGCCACACGTGTCTTTCCAGTTGTGGCAATGAGCTCTTGGAAAAGTTGTGTGGAGTCGAAAGTTTTGACCGCGTGTGATGGCTGAGTGCATCAACTGATGTCACTGCTGTGCGTCTGACCGGGAGGTCGTAGGTTCGAGTCCAGATTTTCGATACCAGCTTGTCTGCCAGGTCGAATTCTGTCGCTGTCTGAAAGATAATTCTAGAGCCCTGCTGCTCGGTAGTTTTCCGTGCTTTCTCCGATCAATACCAGGCGAATGCCGGAGTAGTACGCTAACAAACGGGCCACGGACCGCACGCGATCTTTCCTTCCTCTTCCTTGTCCTATCCTCACCCCTTACACATGCACTTCACTATCACATATGTCGGGAGACCGTTCGGGAGCTTAGTTCGTCGTGGCTGGAGCGGTGCCGCGCTGGTGGGTGATACCAGGTTGGGAAAACCCCGCTAGCGACGAATTTTTCGTGACGCAAGCAAATTTAAAATTTATCTTTATGTTAATGGATTTATTTTTTGCATTATTTTAATTGAACTTAATTATGAAACGATTCTTAAAAAATGTCAATAGTCTTAATTTTTCAGGATTTATCATCCAGGTTATGGCATTTTGTATATTGGCACAAAAATGGACAAAATGTTTGTTATAAGATACATACAGAGTACGTTTCTGCATTAAAATCTAATTGTATCACTCGTAACGTAACGAGATGTTGTAAATTAACGAAAACCCCAGAGCATGGAAGCAGAACGATATCTAATTGTAAGATACATCAGGAAAAATGTAAAACACCTTAAACGTTCTTAATATTTTTTATTATGACATATTTGAAATTCTTTCAAATGTCAGTTATTATTATTCCAGTGTTTTTATATATTATTACAAAATTCTTGAATAAAGGTATTTATTATTTATTTACTTTGAAAGGGGGTTTAAATATATTCAAATTAATTTAGAATTATCTCATTATTCAGGAAGTGTCACACAGATCTCGTTTCCAGAGAATTGACGTGTATGCGCAGGGATCTAGACGTCACGTCTGAGAAACTTTCTAACCCGTTTAAAGAAAATATTCTCAATAACATATGCGGTGGTGTATGCAATGCCTTGTTGTGCATGATAAGGTCACTTCATTAAACTTGTTTAAAAAATTGCTAATTATGATGGAAATACGTGTCGTAGGATGTTTTGCTTACTTTACTCAGGAACAGTAATCGCCAATTTTACGATTAAAACTCCTATTTTCTAATAATCGTCGAGAGCTCACAAGACGAAACGTCACATAAATGTTCAATTTGCCTTATTAGTCCTTATTAGTTGTAAATCGACCTTAAATAAGTTAAAAAATGTTACGTTTCACTTAAATTAATAAGAAATCAAATTGTAAATCTGTCGTAGAATGCTAATGCGACCGTCCTAAGCAGAAAATAGGCTCGTGGCGATTGGGCCAGTTAAGTCGCTTTCACCGCTTGTTCGCGCGTTCGATCCGCAGCCAATTCATCTGAAATTTGTGGCGAGCTCTCGCTAGGTGTTCTGCCGAATCCCTCGCAATGGATCCTCCCATTTCCCTCGCTTCTCATCCCAATTTCACCGGTCATCGCCTTTCACCTCATCATTAACGCTATCATCTTTTATTTAACACGCATGGGTCTCATTAATTTCAAAAATGCAAGGGCCCCGAAACCCCAAATACATTATGTTAATATTTCATAAAACTAACAGGAGGTACATGTTCTTGAGCATCAACGTGTGACCATTTAATGAAAGTATGGGATTCGAAATGATATTTGTCCACTTTAAGGAGAATCAACGGTTTATTTACATGCGAAACTCATAAAAAGAAAACTTTTTATCCTTTGAAAAGTGCATAAATATGAATTGTGTAAAATTATTGTAGTAATAGAAACGTAAATTATTTCCTATTTAGTATTATTTCTATGATTGAAGTATTCAATATTTTTCGAAAATAGCATTTATTAATAATCTCGCAGTGTTGCAGATAACTGACATACGTTCTTTGCGGTATGTCGAACAATAAGTTCTTTGCAGTACAAACGCAACGGAGAACTCTTTCAACAGACCCATCCTGATACACATACAAAATCTTCGACTTTTCTTGGAGAACTACTGAGAGCCCTCGAAACTGAGGACGTGAAAAGGAAATATGAGTAGTTTACACTCTGAAGGAACATGACTTGTTACTTTGAAGTATTACTCGCTTCGCACTTTAAAATGGCGCTCCCTTTCACAGGACAGCTCTTGCTCCCGAAAGTCGTTCTTCGTGTTTGCCCTTCTCGCTGGCCACGGGGGCCGATACTCTGCACCCACGATGCTAGGGAGCCCCTCGCCGTATTCATGGCAATTGCAGACGGATGCGCCCCCAGGGACGAGTATCTACAAACGAATTCTTCACGTAAGTTATTTATTCATGTTCTGTTTGGTTCATCACGAAAGGTAGCTCAAAACGAGAGGGAATTGAACGTTAATTCAAAAGCGCAGCCATGTACTAATAACGGTACCAACCTTAAATGCGGGATCGTACGTTTTACATGAGTGCATCGTATGAATCGATGCACTTCTCAAGTAAAACGTGTAAGACCAAAGCGAATAAAGCTTAACTATTAAAATGCAGTGTTTTTATTGTAAAACCTGTTGATAACAACGCGATAAATATCCTGCTTTTTGTTTAAAGCAAAAATTACGAAATTTCGTAGAGTGGAAATATTTTTTAATTTTTCATAAATTAAGAGAGTTAAACGAAAATGAGATCTGCCTCATTCTTTTGAGCGTCACTTGTTATTCGATTCCTTTAAAAAATAAAAAATGTGGAGAGGGTTTTGCGAAATAATTAGTTATATTTACTGTCGCAGATTGTGATTTACTGTGTGACAGTGTTGTGTCCAGATATTCTCAGCAATAATGTGATGGCTCTGGCGTAACCTTCTGAAGGTTTTTAGACATGTTTGTTTGAAAATCTTTTTGCATGATTTTATGGCAAGACAGGAAAATGTGTGATATTCCTTTTTCGATGTAGACAATATTTGTCTGTCTGTAGTACAGATATGAAAAATTGTACTTACGAAGGGTGAACATGAAACGTATGCATACATGCGTTTCGGTCGTTTGGAACTTGCGTTGTAGCTAGATGTTTAGGTCTGCGAGACACTAATTAAGAGTTTAGAGATGAAGCTTGACAAGTGAATTGATTCGGTTTATGCGTGTAGATACAGATAGTAGTTCTCGTACGCGTTTTAGAGAATGGATACCTTTGAAAACTTTCTAGCAATTCTTACCTGTTTACGTAGTGGAAATAAGTGTTGTCTTTGAGCTTTGCTAGTTTCTGTACGTCCTTAAGAAAGGAAAGAGAGAAGCTATTTATTCTGTTTGTCAAAATGCATGATTTATCTAATATGCCGATGGCGTTGCGAGAGCCTATCAGCTATCAGCCTATCATTTAATTGGGTTAAATAACAGTCGGAGGGCTGCGGTCCATTTATCGAGAGCATTTATGTCTTACTTTTTTATTCTGAAGTAAAGCCTGACGTTCCTACGGTTCAATCCGCTGATGTAGAAATGAAGGTCGTCTGCGTACATTTTTCGACGACTATATTATAAGACATTGTTCTATCTTTTTACCTAACTTAAAAATGCTAAGAGTCCTAGAACTTATTTCTTTGATTGCATTTCTAATACATTATTACACATGTTATATAATACTCTTACTTAATTTTGAGACTAATACAGTGCATTCTATAAAATAACACAATGAGACTAATCGGACCACAGTGTCAAAGGGCTTTACTCCCGACGTTCAGCAGACGAGGAACCTCCGCTCTTCGCACTTCGTGTGTCAGTCGCTGGTCCCGTTTGGGGGCGAGCGAACGGCAAGTAAATGAGCGAGCCGTTCGGCGCCTCCGCGACCCCACGCGCTGTCCCCCTGGCTGTCAGGGCGGGTTACGGCTTCCCCAGGCCCCCTGGCAAATTGCCCTCTCGCTGCCCGCGCCGCCCCGCGCAACAGGTGATCGCGTGCTCGGGGACACCGGCGCGTGCCACGGGCGGCGCGGGAGGGGGGCAGGGGCCAGGGCCCCCTCGGCGAAGGGGGGCTTCTTCCGCCCGCGGCGGCGCGCCGCACGCGGCGACAAAGGCGACGGCCCCCAAGATTTGGCTGCCGCCGCCGCCGCTTCCGCTCCGGCACGCGCCGACCCCCCCCCCTCCTCCTCCACGGCTGCGCGGCGATACGACCCGTCCGTCCTGCGGCCCGCGAGAGGGCCCCCTGCACGCGCCTCGCCCCAGGAAGGCCCGGCTGTGCGGTAGGCACGGACAGTTACGGCGAAGGAAGGCATGCGTGAAGAATTGGACTGGTTTCTTATTTGCTTCACGGGAGAATAAGCACTGTAACACCTATTTTAAAGAAATCAATTATTTTGTTGGATACATTATTCACAATGTTTTCCCATCATTGTCAATTGTTGAAACGTATTGGAATATCTCCAAAATGTTCAAGTGTTGACATAAAAACTTTTAGTTAAATATATTTTTCTATTAGGTTTATGCATTTGATCAAATGTATGATCTCACAGTGACTGTAACTGGCTAATTGTGTTAAAGGCAAAATATTGGGATGAAACTAACTAATGACATCATGTGAGATGAGAAATACAATTAAAATTTATAAAACTCTACCCAGAAATATCAAAATTATAATATTAAATACTGTATTACGCGTTGAAGTCATGTGGTCTAATTCCGATCTTTACTCACATCTTTTTTACTTTTTTGATGATTGTTGTTACACTGTCATTTCGCTGCCAATCCCCGAAAGCGAGCATGTTATTCGATACGGGCATTTGTCATTGTCATCCAACGCCGTGGAATCCCGCAGCCGGGCCACTACTGCGGCGAGGCACTCCTCACCTGCGGGGCGCGGGGCGGGCAGCTGGCTGCGCCGGCGGAAGTGTTGCCTTCCGAATCAGGCCGGGGGCGGCGGCGGGGGGGGGCGAGCTCTTCCTTCCGCGGCTCATTACGCGCCCCTCCGCCCGCGCCACGCCCCCCCCGCCCCCGCCCCCTGCGCCGCCTGGCGATTAGCATTTCCCGCACTTAAGCACGCACGCGTGCCGCCCGGCTCCTTCCCCACGCGAAGCCCTGCCCTGCCCAGCCCAGCCCAGCCCAGCCCGGCCCCGCTCCAGCGTCGAAGGAGGCGCTGCGCCAAGGAAGTTTGATCTGAGGGCTATTGCTAATTCGAATTATTTGATGGGGTAATTCGAACATTTGGATGACGTAATTCAAATTGTCTGATGGGGTAATTGGAATAATTGGATGGTGTAATTCGAGTTATTGGATGTCAATTGTTGAGGAAATAGGGAATAAAGGAATGAGGAAATAAAGTGTATCGAATTATAGGATAGTGTAATTTGAATTTTTGGATTACTCGAAGAGAATATTTAATTCTTATGGAATTACATACTCAAAAAAATGTTTAAACTGCTGTTTTTAAATTCAAAATGTCCAGGTTACATTTGAATAATCGGAAGTCAGAATTTTATAGAGATGAGTTAAAAATTATTTCTTAGATTGTATGTAAATCCAGAGTTATTTGTCAATTAAATACCTACCTAAAAGAAGTGATGAAATTCCAGCAGTAGTTCCCGCAAAGCTTCTTTGCTTTATAAACTCAAGTGAGGAAACAATTCCTGACAATTCTCACTTAGGAATTCTTAGTTAGGGTGTTTAATAATTGAGTTGGAGGAAATACTTCATATTAAAAAAAAGACGTTATTTTCTAGGCTTGTTCATTAATTCAATTTTTTTGCGAATTATCTAACTCTCCTTTTGTTTTGAAATAAAAAGTTTAATATGTTTAAAAAAAATAAATGTATGGGCATCTACTTTCAAACTTTGCGATTTGTTTCCAGCACAATGATTTGTGATTACCGCGACAACCACTATTGCTTTAGACCTCAAAAATAAGCAAGATTCGCCTCTATGAACTTATTCATATCTGAGTATTTCGATCATGTTAACGCTTCAATCAGAAGTTCAATTGTTGAAAAAAGCTTGCGTACAGGATTCTTCTCGTCACAAAGCTAAGCTTAAATTCACGAACTTAATAGTTGTTAGTATTTTCGAAAATTTAGTAGATATTATTTTCGCCAAGAAATTATCAATCTTTCAAAATGGAATATTAAAATCTGGTCAGTGGGTCGTTTTACCTCTTACGAAATGTTGCATCACTTATATTTTTGATATATGTGCGGAATTTTCTCAGTTGAGTTGATGTTAATTTATCTTTGCGATTATTTTCCCCTCACTAATTTCTCATTTCTTTTACATCATTGAATAAAATAAAAGATTGATAAATATATTCTCATGATTACTGTATTATCATTTATTGCTTCTGCCTTTGTTCTTTCACTTAAGAGCCAAGCTCAGGAATGAAATTGATATATATATATATATATATATATATATATTTCTGAATTTCTGATACATTCTATGTTACTTTATTAATTTTATTTCAAAATATAGTTTAGAACGACTTAACTTGATCTTTATGACATAAACTAGAAGTTTCCATATAATTTTAGTGGTTGCAAAAGTAGACATACATCTAAAAGTTAATTATTATATTTTACTCAGCGAGAATCCTACAACTTTAACAACAAAAGTTAAAAACTTATTGGAGTAAATGGGTACTAGTAGTAATTTAAATCATTTCTCTCCTCATAACACACACAACCACACACACACACACACACACACACACACACACACACACACACACACACACACACACACACACGGTTTGCGAAGAATACAATAAGATCATGTAATGTCAGACTGCATTTCATGAAATACTCCTTAGCTGATTAGCGTCGTGAATATAGATACAGACATAACAAGCGGTGCGGTGGAAAGCCTCTTATTGTCTGATCCGTTATTGCTTCACGGCAATAAAAAGCGGGTTACAAGTTGGCTGAATTAATGGAGGTGTTTTGCACCCGATTTCCATCCAACACGACTGACGCGCCGTTGAAAGCGGTCGTGAAAGGAGCAGTCGTGGGGGCTGCACACGCGTCGAAGTGCGAAACGATGTGGGAGACCAAAACTGCGGCTCTTGCCCTGACATTCCCTCGCATTCCGTGACTAAACATTAATAGCTGAGTGTAGACACGCCTCTTCTTCTCGCATCCCTCGGTCACGAACGCCGTGCTCTTCCTCACTTGGCGGAGGTGTCCTCCCGCGCCGGTCTTTGTCTAGATCGCTCGCCACCGGAATGACCTGACGGACGCCGTCGTTACTACGTTTTCCTCATGCGGGGGACTTGTCTTGTTTGTAAATATGAGCACACGTTCTGAAGAATGGCGGAATAGTGGTTGGTAGGAAAGCCCGAAGCCATTATAGGAACAGTAAGTG